TACGTGGAGTTCGATTACGATTTAATATAAAACCTGTGTCCTAACAATCGATTGCTTTTAAATGTTATATTACAAGTGTCTGTATACCCGAGCATAATGATTTATTGCAAAATAATAATCTGACAAATCCATATTTATGAACTAAAGCCGCTGGCTATATTATTAAATTAAGTAAAACAACATAATCGCATAATAACTTTATTATGTTCAAATTTCCCCTGACTAGATTTTGTGGCCATAATTATTGGCATGATAATAGGCTCCCAACTTTCTAGCAATTTAAAGGCCCGTTTTAGCTGAAACTTTGAAAGCCAATCTTGGAAGTCCCAATAAAAAGAGCAGCAGCATTCCAAGGCGGCCAAAAGGGCGTGGACTCCCGATGGGGAAAGACAAAGAGCCGCACTGAAAGTCGGAAAATCTCCACCCAACCGTAGGCGACGCCACTCAAGTTAGCTGAACTAAACCGAGCTGAAATGACTCACTGACAAGGGAGCCGAGAAATGCGAAGGTTGGCTGCCTGGCATGCGTAGATAAATTGAGTTGAATGGAGCGCTACTGATTGGACTTACGATCCAGGCAGGCGGTTGTTACCACCTGTCCCCGCAGCCGCCGCCGCCGCCGCTGCCTCTTTTGGATTTTCAATTATGGTTAATCATGCAAATGTTTGTCGCCTGTGAAAATGTTTTACATAATGCAAAGTGAAATGCTGCATAGCCATTCAAGCCATTCAGGAGAGTTTCAAACCCAGCAGAGCATTATAGTCCAATGCATACATGAATAATTGTCTTTTTGTGTGTCCATCTTACAGCTGCTGCCGTGGCTCGGCCCAATCCCAGGAACATGGGATATGCTGAGCTACTGCTCAGGTAAGCCGAGCAATTTTTGCTGCCTGATTTCACAACTCCGACACCAGAGTGTCAGGTTGTGGCACATTCCCCCTGCCCGAGCCCGAGCCCGAAAACCCTCTCCGTTCTGGCCCCTTTGCTTCGTTTTGGGATTAGAAACCAACCCCGAAACGTGTCACATTATGCCAGGAGATTGAGATAGGAGACATGTCCTGGCCCTCCTGCAAACCGATTTCGGTTCCGGGATTAAAGGAGAAATTGTCCACTCGAAAGGCATGTTTCTTCATTAAGCCAATGCGAAATACCTGCTAAGGTAACTGGGCATCGAAAATGCTGCAATCGAAGAGGATTTGCAATGGGCGGCAGTCGCACACAAAGTAATTTGAAAGTGGTTAGGAAAATTATCTTCCTGAATCCCCAGGAAATGAACAAGTTTCTTTCCATTCTTTGAGTCCTTTGAAATGGATTGGCACTGTTGGAAGTCCTAATGTTTGCAAATGGCTGTACAGAAGAACAAGGTGATTGTTTTCCTTTCCAGAGTAATGAAATTTCACTTTTATGGAACACTATTACTTTTTAATTAACTAACAACTTTAATTTGGTGATACCTCAAACTATTTTTTCCCCACTAATCCAATTTTATTCTTTAGAAATTAGCTACCTTTAATGGTAGTCGACATCCAAACGAATAGCGACTTGTGCCAACTCTAATGTATTAGAGGTAATTTATCAACTTTTAATCAAATGTATTTTCCATTCCTACATGGAGATGCTCCCTTCTGTCCCGCCACATACATACTCGTATATAATATATGTCCGTTGCTCATGCCATTACGTGGTGTTACGCAATCGCCACCCCAAAAATGGCACGGAAACTACCCCTTCCAAACTCGGCACCCCGTCTATATGGCCCGGCTGATCCTTTATAGTTTTTACATGCATTCCCATGCGTATTCCGTGTGAGTGTGTGTGTGCCATTTGGTCATAAATTCAAAAAGCTGGCCCAGCTTAAATTTTGGTTTTTCAATTTTTGAATGCCAGACCTCTGACAACCCTCGGGTCCATGGGTGCCCCGCCATTCCCTCTCCATCCCCCGAGGAGGACCAGCATCTCACATAGTTGTGCGTGCAACTGTGAAACGTGTTACAGGACCGGCCAATGTCCTGTGTTCCCCCACCCGCCATTCCCCATTTTCCCATTCCCCCGATCCATCAGAAAACCATGAGATTTCATTTAATTAAAGCATTTAGGCAGGGGTTTTTAGGTTTCGACGCCATATGTGCGTTGAATATATTAAATATACAAACACAATCCTTTCAAAGGACATCCGCAGCCAGCTCCTAAACAAATATGTTGGGAAAAAAGTGCAGCTTAAGAAAGGTTAAACAAAGGTTAAGCTCGGAGAGCAAAGGTTCGAAGTTCTGAGTGCTGAGCTCGAAGCTCGAAGCTCGGAGCTCGGAGGAGGCTTAAGCCTTGCGGCCCGAAAGCCAACTCATCAAAGTTATTTAGTTAAAATTAGTGCCTGTCGAGGATGTCTCCCCAATATGCCAAAGCAAACAAGACGACGCAGAATCATCGAATGGCTCGAGGGCCTGGCAAAGGACACGAAAACGTTTTGGTCTGGGGATTTGCGGGGACAATGTCGTGCCGCTGACAAGTGCGATGACAACGTCAAAGGCTGGCTGCTCGGATGGCTGACTGGATGGCTGGCTGACTGGCTGGCTGGCTGGCTGGCTGCTCTCCTCTGAGCCCGAGCTGCATGGCCATGCCCGACTAGCTGCGAGGCACCTCTGGGAAAAAAGACGCTCATCTGGAAAATCAACTTCGACTTTCGGGCCACCCAGGCATCCGCCAAGGAGCAAAAGCAGCAACAGCAACATCAGCAGCAGCAGCAGCATCAACGAACCGCAAATCATAAAATAAACTCTTTAATTACGCCTCACGACTTGCCGGGGCAGACACGCAACAAGCCCAAGCCACAGCCAAATGGAAATTATGCAAAATGCAACAGCAGTAGCAGCAGATGAAATTGCAGCACAGCAGCAACATCACCACAGCAAAAGCAGCAGCAGCAGCAGTGGAAGCCACCTTCCGAAAATGTGAGTAAAATTATAAAATCTTTGGCACGACATTGTTGACGACGACAAAACTGCAAATTACCAAATTATAAGCGAACTGCAAAAAACAAACTGCCAAACAATGAAGGAGCGAATTTTAAGGTAGTGAAACTTTAAGTTATCTTCGCTAGGTATAAAATAATAAAGTGGAGTCCTAACTTTTCAACTGTAAAGAATTTCGTTGTGGAATTGGGTCAAATTTCAAATCAAATCTAAATATTTTCTTGTTGGTTAGTGGAAGTATTTCTTTCAGGGAGGGTATTTAAAGACAACCCATTTGGGATCCTCATAAAATCCATTTGGCCTCCGATGATGAAGCAGAGTGGTCGAAAAGCCCAAGGAGGAAGTGGGAATACCGAAATGCACTCGGACTCTCACACACTCAGCATGGAATCCCGAGGGGAAAGGGGACTGCCCCCTGCTGTACAGCCCATTCGAACTACCTGCACCTCGTGCCTCCTCCCGTCCTCAGGAAAACTCCCGCCTGAGCTTGGCACCCACTCGATTATCACCGAAAAACGATTGACCTCACGAATTCGTAATTAATTTTCACAAAAGTTTTCCATTCGAAGACAAACTTCAAACAAAAGGCAGCAGCATCTCTCTTGGTGTGTGTTTGTGTGTGTGTGTTTGCCTGAATCTGTGTGTGGATTGGTTCAGTTTGGGTTCAGTTCAGTTTTTGGGATTGCTTTTGTGGAACCCCTCCCACTTTTTCCTGCGGCTGCCACAATGTTTAAACATTTGAGCGCACACATCTCTGTGGGGGGCAAAGTGAATGCCGTTGCCCTGCTCATCTGCCGTTGCCCCCGATTTTGGAGCCCCCTCCGATCCCCGCCAATCAGTTCCACCTCCACCTCTGGCCCCTCTTTCACCTGGCCGCTATAGTTGCTTAGTTTGTCAGTTGTGTGTGTCGCTTAAGTGCTGAAACAATGTTCCAAGTTGTAAGTGCAACAAGGGAACCCAGTGCAACATGGCAGGCAGCGAGCGAAGCCAAAAGCCCAAACTGAACCAAACCAAGCCAAACCGAACCGAACCGAACTGAAGCCCGGAGTGCACCAAAAATAAAGTGTGTAAAAATGAGCAACTTTTTCAAGTGAGAAGCAACTATATGGCATGCAGCTGGAGCTGCACGCTCGCATCTCGGGCGACAACGTCGACAATGACTAGCAGATTTGGTCGGGCGAACAGAGAGAAAAATTATATGGCATAAATGGAATTAAATTTAAATGTGTTATTTATCAACTCATTTGTGCTTTTTCTCATTAATTGCTTTATGTTTTTGGTCAACGATCTTTTAATGCGTTTAATAACATTTTATTACTATTAAACTTATGCAATATCATAGCTTGTTCTCTTTAATCTTCATAAATGCATCACAATTATTTTTAAACTTTTGTTAAACTTCGGAAATTATTGAACGACTGGCTGAAATTTGTTAGTGCAAAGGCGTCTCGCAGCATTTTCCGCGCAAACTCGCCAAGATACAAAAATTTCACTCTGCTCGAGTCTGCGGCACCGCCTCCCCTTTCCGCCCATGCCTCTCCACCCCGCCCACACTTTCCCCAACCACTTCGCCCCATGAATGTGTGCACAATTTTCAAACTGGCAGCGTAAAGTGCACAAATTGCAATTGTAGCTGGGGCGCGGGAATCAGGACAAGACAGAGACAGGGTGACAAAGGGGGCGTGGAACAGGGACAGGGAAAAGGGGGGTTCACAGGCAGGATTGTTGGCTCATGAAGGGAGTGAGGAATGGGGACGAACTGGAGTGTGTGGAGGCGTCGTCGATTGTAGGCCCTGCCAGGCATGGTGGGCTCTTCACCAAAAGCAACTACAGCGGCTGAAAGAGGAAGAAGTACTCTCCCCAGTACAGTGAACACTTGACGCCGGGGCCGCAAGACATTAATTACAGCGCTTAAGAAAAAAGCCAACAATATGTTAAATTGAATTACGGAAAGAGCAAACAAATGGTAACCTATTTATCCGAGAATATGGGCAAGCATTTTGCTTGTTTATTTTATTAATTTTTAATATCTTACCTTTAAAGTTGGAAGCATCATCTTCTTTTGGCGCCAATGTTAGTTATTCATGCAACTGAAATGAGAAGACAAATATAAAGTGTTAAATAAATACAACATTTTATATTAAGTATATAGTTCCAAATATTAAAATATAAACATTTGGCTTTTTCAGTTTTCTCATGGTAACTTAAGCTCTTAATGGTATGAACCACTTTTTTCTCCCGTGTTTGAGTTTGTTTTCGTGCTGACCAAATGCAAAGTGCAAGACCAAGGCAGCCTGACCGTGTACATTGACACTTTGATATGATTGCCAGTGGACTGGAGCTCCAGGAAATTGGGGGGAAACCGAGAGGGGAGAGATAACAGAAGGAGGAGAGCTTGGTAGACAGTCGAGCAGAGGAATCTTGCGGTTAGTTTGGCCAGCAAAAGTTTCATTTCGAACCGTCTTCTCCGCAACACAGTTTACAACTTCTGGTCAGTTCATCGTGTTCAAGCATGAAATGACGTTGCACAAAAATCGCTCGACAAGGTGAGCTCTTAAAGGTGCAAAAACTTTAAGTGGAGCAAAATACACAAAATGACAAAGTTGATGAGGTGCTCTTTCTGGGCGTTGGAAAATTAATTTTCGGCCGGGATGACATTCAACTCATCGTCAGCTGCCCCCGTTCTTCCTTTTGTCCGCTCACTTGTCTGCCTTTGTTGTGTGACTTGTAACTTTAGTTGTTGTCTGGGGCACTCACAATTTCGCTCTAATGTTTAATTTCAACGCTTGACTTGGAAAGTTTTTTGCCAGCCAGCCCGAATGACAGGATACACAGAACAGAAAACAATGCAGCTTGTTGTGGGTAAATTTTAATTGGTGAAAAATATAGAAAATTTTTAATTGTTCTTAGTTATGTACTCTTATGAGTTTCATAAGTAAAAAACTCATATCAAAATGTAACTTGGGCATTGGCATTACTTTAGATGAGAACTATTTGTGCAATATAAGATCTATCAGGATACATTCATATTTTTTTCCGTGCACTGACTCTATTTGAGGCATCAGCAAAAGTCGAGCGCGAACTCGAATTCGAACTCTAGCTGAAAACTCCTTCTGGCCAAGTCGACACAAATTGCTGCAAAGTTTTTTGGCATTCAAGTGTTTTAATGTCTCACGAGTTGTTGCGGAGTCGCAGAGCAGACTCTTTTCCTCTTTTCCGTGCTCCACACATGAATTAATCAAAGAGCAGCTGCAGTTTGTGTGGCATTAAGTACCCGGCTAGGAGACTTGGGGGCGCAGGTGGGTTAAGACCGCAAGGCGGTGGCGCCGCTAGACAAATTCAACTTAATCAATTTAAAGTGCTCACCACAAAGTCAACAGTTCAAACTAACCGCAAGGCAGGGGTTTGAAAAGCAAGGCAAACACTCCCCGCAATTCCGCACGCCCCCTTTTGGCCCAGTGTTATTAGGCAAATTGTCGCCACACAGATACTCACTAACACTAACACACAGGGCCGCACACACACAGCAGGTTGTCGTTGACCAACAAGTGACCAAGGCCCGGAGTTTTACGTTTTACCCCCCATTGTCCTGCCAAGTATCCCTTACACTTTTTTCCTGTTCTTGTCCTTTGTTTGCCGACGTGTATTTGTGTTTGCTCTGCTGTCAACATTGGAAAATTATGAAAATTAATATGAAAATTGTTGCTATTTACGGCTAGTTTAGCCCGGAGTGTGTGCGTGCGTGCCTGCCTCTTCTTGGGTTTCGAGTGGGGCAATTGTTGGTTTTAGATTTAATTACTTGAGTCAACTTGAGCCTTAATTTGATTGAGTATTATGTGACATCGAGCCCACTCTGCGAGGGGTTCAATTAACCCAGGCTCACGCACGGGAAGGGGTTCTGTCCTGCTACCCAAAACAAAGAGGCCTAAGTAGCCTGCGGATGCGAATCGATTGAGAACCCTAGTAAAAAACGCACACACTCGACATTTGCATCTTTGACAGCTCTATTGTTGGTCCTTTTGCATTTGCATCCTGCCACGCACTCGCTTGAAAAATATGCAATAAAAACAAGGGGGAACTGCATTGACTGCACTGCAGGATAAAGGACTAACGCAGGACCCCTTGAAGGCAGTCAAAGATGTAAATGGCTCGTAAGTGCGGAAACCTTTGGTGCCATTCTTCAAGTGCAAGCACCTATTCAACGAAGTACAAAATGAAGAACTTAAAACACACACAATTTTAAGTTTCCTTTAATCAATCTTTTGTTGTTCTGTTTTGTAAACATAATACTTCACCCGAATTGAGCCAATCTAACTTTCAATGCAAAGAATCCTACACAACGAATTTCCAAACGGATTATTGTGAAATTTCTACAACTAAATTAAAGCAGAGAAAAGCAAACTAAATCCCTTGACAGCATTTCAAAGCAATAAATTCATAATTCCCAGCTCACAATTTGAACAACATGTGTTTCACAGGAGCTCAATAAATTCGTTATATTTTGAAAGCCACTTAGAAGTAATTTTTATTGTTCGCTCGCAAACTAATCCCGTGTCAATTGTCAACGCTGGCGCTCAAGACACTTAAATGCAGATTATGCATGTCGAATGGAAGCCCACACTTCAAAATCAATTAGCAGAAGCTGTCTGAAAAATCGAGGAAAAAGCGATGAGCAAACATGTGGGCCAGAAGTTGCCTGAAGTTGCCATTAAACGCCCGATTATAATGACAATTGACGGCAAGCAATAAAACCGAATTGCCCCGTCAAATGCTCAACCAGCTGGACTAAAAGGCCGGGCTTAGGTTAGATGAGCCTCAGCTCAGTTAACGCTCCACCTCCGCCCCTCCACTCCATCTGCATTTACTGTCATAATTTATATGCATTTATGAGACACGCTTGGACAGAGACGGTTTTTATGGCAATTTTATTTCCTGTAGGCAAATAAAGCAACTCGACATGTGAGCGGCATTCGAAACTTCAACTTCATTATCGCGTTATCGCCACCTCCCCGCACTACTGCCCCGGCTGCATTATCGTGATTGCTGTAGTAAATGTTTTTTATTTATTATTATTTACAAATGCATTAAACACAATATTTAATTGCATCATAAAAAAGCGGCAGTCTGTCTGGCCCAATATAAAAACGCTATGGCCCTCTCTATCCAGCTATAGCCCACTCCCATTTTCGATAGCAATTGAACTTTATTGAAAGCAGTGGTCGCTTGCTAAGTGGAAGAAATAGCTTTTTGGGTATAAAGCTATTATCCCAGAATGAGTCATTAATGGTTTTGTTCGTGCAATTTAAGAGGAAATCTTTTTTTTTGCTCTTCGCAGTTAATTAAATATCGTAAGCTGTACAATCCCTTTTTCTCTGTTTTGTTACAGTTTATATGAATACTGAACAGTATTCCTAATCACTTTTTAGAATTTTCTTTATGAATCCACCTACCACAGGGACCACTGTACGTGGTTCTAGGTGCTCCGCTTGTGTGTGCTCGGTGTCTGTTTGTTTTTGTCCCTGGTTGTTTGCATAGTGCAGTGCTTATCGCAAATGCTTTTCCTATATGCGTGTGATATTTTTATGAGTTCTTTCGACCCCCGATCCCTAGGATTTTCCACATCTAATGCCCAGTTTCGATTTCGGTTGATGTTGCTGCTGCTGCTGCTGGTGGTGGGGCTCCTGCCGCAGCGCTGTGTTTGCTGTTCACAGTTTTTCGTTATTATTTACACAATTGACCCTTTCACACCCGAAAACTCATTGAACTTCATCAGCAACATCCACGGCGGCAACAACAACAGCAATAGCAACAAGCGGAGATATGGCTCACGTACACAGGCCCCCACCCTGAACAAAGAAAAAAAAAACCCTGGCAGTTGGAGTTCAAGTCTTGGGCTCAACTGTAAATAGTCATAAATGTTTTGTTTATGTTTACAATTTAGCTGCTGCTCCTGCCGATGTTGCTGTTGCTGTTGCTGTTGCAGTTGCCTTTGATACTGCTGCAGTTGCTCTTGCCGCTGTTGCACCGTGTTCCTGCCGCAGTTCGTGACTTCTCTAATGTTGTTGACGTGGTTGTTGCAACATGCTTCCCCATTGCTCTCGCCGCGGCCTAAAGATTTCTGAATTGGTAATGGAGCATGTGCAGTTCAGTGAGGTGAGCTGCATTTTATTGCTATCTAAATCGCTGGCTCTTAGCCATGTATGTGAACTAACAACAACTCGGTCCGCGAGCTGTCTCCGATTTTTATTTGCTTTTAATTTGACTTGAAAACGGGGCTTAAATGTCAGGAGTTGTTCGGCTTGTAATCCACATAAGCACACACGCGGACCGCTCTGCGCTTTTGTTATTAATGTATTCAATTAAGTAACGGACCGACAATTAAACTCATTATGCATATGGTGGTAAAATGCAATGCAAATAGCCTAAAGCCCCACTAAACACCATTATTATGGCCAGCACCGAGCAACAAAAACAACAGTTGTCCAACTAAAACAAAAACTCCAATCGAGCCACATTAAAAGCATCATTAAATAAATTATAGACCAGGCCCGAGGCAATAATGATATAAAAAACCAATAAATCTAACATGAGTTTCGTAATGTAAACATAGCTTAATTCATTAGTTGTTTTAGGAGTTTTTTATTTAGTATTTAAATGTCTGTAAACGTTGAAAAAAGTGGTAACAGTTAGGCCTAATGGAAGTCATAAATAATAAACAAATTCAGAGGTTAAACTAATGAAGCTGAATAGTAAATTTAGAAGAGCTTAGGGGGATAATTTCTACTGTGCGTTTAAAAAAAGTGTCTTAACTTTAGCTGCCAATAATTTTTTTTCAATTCAACAAACCATCTTTCCATAATTTAGTAATTTTTTTGCCATTGCCTTCCTTTTCCTCTTTCCTCCTTTCCTCTATTATCTCCAATTGACATTTAATTATCAATTAGCTAGGCCACATCCTCTCTGATTTCGGCACAAGCTTATAAATATTTTAATTAATTTACATTGTCGTGCATTTTTCGGCCAATTCTTTTGTCAGGTGTCAGTCAGTCAGCCTAAATTCCGCTGCTGACAGTGGAGTATAATTTATGCA